TTTTACAGAGTTTTCTGTTTTATTGGCTATATCAGCGATATTGTCGTTTATGCTTGAAATTTTATCAATTTATCATTGCTGGAAACAGCTACCATTATATTCTTCTGTCATTGCTTTCGTTATTATTACCATTAATGTTAGCTTAATTACTGTAACACGAAGCAATTCATACATACGTATCCTTTTGAAAATAAAATTTTTTGAAATTGATTCTTTCAAAATTAGTGAAAATGAAATTCTTAATGAACATTGCTCTAATCGAACAAGCTTGACATTCACTAATTGGTATTTTTAAACATGACATTCAGATTGCTTCGATCATTTGCTGCAAGTTTAAGCCAGAACCAGGTTTTGACTTTCACAATAAAAAGATGCGAAAAGTTGGTAAATCAGCAGAAACTGTTGTAATACGAACAATAAAGAAATGAAAAGCATGAGATCCTTTTCGAAATTAATTAAATCATCAATAAAATCCATTAAAGGTTCGTGAGAATGTTTGCAGTAATAATGATGATTTTACGAACTAGCAAGCAGATGTAAGTATGAAAATTCAGTTTTTAGGGTGAAAAATTTTCTGAATATAGATTAGCACTAAATTCCATGTCTGCAAGATTTAAAAATTTCATCTAATATTTTTTCTGAGAATTCAAGCTAGGCTACTTGCTGAAAAAATTAAGTGATATTTATAAAGCATTTTTATTTGTTCATCCCGAGACTACTTTTACAAAAATCTAACGGTTTGAATTCAGGAATAATTCTAAAATGATTCTAGAAAGAAATTTAACAAATTCTTTATGGAATGACGTTCCAAATTTCTCATAGGATAAACGCTTTATAGAAGTTGTTTTCGCTTAAAATCTCGAAAATTTAGGAATCTGTAAGAAAAATAATTCAGAACTATCAAAAAGTTTTATAATTGTCAAATCAGGAAAAAAAATTCCTTCAATAACATTAAACATGCTGCTTCAGTGTTTCTGTTTTATTTACACTGTGATTTACGATCTATTTCTTAAAATTTCGGATAAATTTCGTGAAAACTCACAGTTTGAGCAATATTTCAATCCTTGTTTCAAATAACAGATCCCATTTCAAGAGAAAGTTTTGTAAATAATTTGCTTCAACTAATGTTATACCCACAGTTGCTTCCATATATATTAAAACAAACAAAAATACAGTACAACTTGTTGCTTGTTCATAATATCTTTGGTTAATTATGGAAAAAAAAACCTTACCAAAAAAAACCTACGAACCACAACATTATTACATTTCGAGTCTCAGTTACAGATATGAACAGCCAATTTTCCTAAAGGTATGGTAAATATCTCCTTTTAAATCAATACATTCCATTATCGAAATGAAATACTTTATGAAATAAAAATTATTTTCTCCATATCTCATTTCTATATTGTGATAACGCTTAATCTATCAAAAGTGCCATTAATTGATACCCGACAGACCATCATATTCCCAAATCATAACAAAAAATAAAAAATAGCAAATTTCATTTTTCATACATGAGAAAGAAAAAAAGATTATAAAAAATAAAAAGAAGCGGGAGAGAGCTGAAAAATACATTTTTATTAATGGAATAAAATATAATTATGGAACGTTAAAGAAGAAAAAGCAGAATGGAAAAAAGAGTGAGTGAGAGTGGCACATAATATAAAATATTGTACTAAGAGAGATAATATTGTCTGTTGTGAAAATTATTTTTTATTGATATTGCTGTCTTTGATGGAAACAAAATATCGCCGGCAATATCTAAATATATACGACACAGCCAGGAAATCCTGAAAAAAGAAACAAGAAACCAAAAAGCAAAACTTTATTTAATATTAGAAATAACTTCATCCTCTATCATGAATTAATTTTTGCAAGTTTAATGTTTCGAACGCTATTTTTATACTTGGGATATCGGACAAAAAAACTTCCCCTTTTTAGAAATTCTCACGCCTATCTGTTTAGAAATAAACTAATAACATGGCCGCGAAGCAAATTTAAATTTTACTTAAGAGAGAGAATGGTGTTTTAATTTTTTTCCTAATCCTCAATATTTTCCAAATCAAAAATTTGATTATGATGAAAAGATGCAGAAAACAAACCTGAACATTTACAGCTGTACTTTTTCATTTGATGGTGATGTCGGATCCGTTTGGCTGGACGCTCCCGATGATTTAGCAATCCCCGAAATTTGGTCGATGCTTGTGGATGCTGCCATTTTTGCCTAAAACTGATAAGAATAACCATAATCAATCAAATTAAAAGTCAAGTCATAGCTTTATTTGTTGCTGAGCCATATGATAAATGATACTATCTACCATTTGAAGATTACAACAAAAAGTATTATTAACCATTTGAAAAATGCCCAATCTTCATTTTGATATGCATGATTCAGACAATAATTTTTACAAAGGTAGCAACCGTTTGGATACTCAACAAAACATGTCACAACTAAAAATGCACTTATAAAATAAATACCTTTCATTTTTCTTCTCATTTCCAATCAAATCTGATATAGAATTCAAAAAAAGTCTTTCCCTTTTCATCAATGAATAAAAAAACCTATCTAAGGCAAAGGAAAAATGAAAATCAAGCAATATGAGCAAAAACATAAACTGACATAAAATCGATGCTTCTAACAGATCTTACCACTTTTTATTCTATTTCCATTATTCTTAGAATATTAAAATGTTATATAACAAAATAAACAAGACAAACTATGGTTTAATTTAAAAAAAATGAAAGGCCAAAGTTTATTTCTCAATTAATTAATATTGAGATTCAGTTAGAGAGTACTATGATTAATCTTAAATTCTTAATTTTAAATCAAAGAGTTATTGTCAACGATGCATAGAACTCCAGTAACTTGTACAACGTATCTCAGGGTCAAAAAGCTTTAAAAAAACTAATATCACGGCATATCTTAAACAATTAATGTCTTCTGTGAAACTCACAAAAAATTTTTTTAAAATTATAATAATATACAGTATGTTCTTGGAGTTTATTAAAGAATACCACCAAAATTCGAAGAAGAGAAAAAATATAAATACATGAGAAGAATGTCTTACAGTCGTATATGCTGTTTCTAGTTTAGATTCGAATGATTTGAACAGTGATGAATTGCGCATATCATTCCATTTGTTCTTCACAGTATCCGCCGTACCTGCGACCACTTCCGATGTTTTCTGATATCTTAAAAATCCAAGATTACAGAATTACTGAAACCGTATGCAAATCTCTTAAATAAACTTCACATAAATCTTACTTTAAAAAATTAAAAGAATTTGAAAAATATACACCATTATAAACAAGAATAATTGTTAACCATAAACTGACCACAACTTATTTTATACAGTTAACACTATCTGGAACAAATATATACCTAAACCTATGCTGAAAAATTCAGAAATCATTCCATTCAAGCAAACACCTACGCTTGCGATTCTTTGACATGCTGCAACGAGTGATTGATATCAGTAGTAAACTCAGTGAAGGGTGAAATGCCCAATTTTCGTTTCAAATCACTCGCATGCTTCTGACGTGCAACCAGCACCTGACGTAATGTATTGATTTCTTCTTCAGTCTGAAAAGCTCTAATACAATAAATATTTGGAAAATATATATTAAAAATTGTCAAACTCAATTGGGGGCTAGATGAACCTGAGAGCAGAAATAAAATCAAAATATACAAACATTTTACGCATCATTTTTCTCGAAAGGAAGCATACCACATGTTGATAATGGTGTTAATATATTATGTTATAACCTAGGGAGCTTCAAACAAATCTTAAAAATTTCAAATAAATCAGTTGACTAGATTGCGTAGTCAAATGGCATTTGATAATCTAAAATGATAGTAACGAGCTGAGATGATGAATAAAATATTAATAATACCAGCGAATTTAACTAACTTGAAACTCAGATATAATTTCATTGAAACGAAGTGTACCTTTTTTAGTTCATCTCTGATCAATTCCTTTTCAACTTCACTAAGTTCACTTGAAGTGCCATTAATGAAATGTTCATCGCCAGCTGAAAAATTACACTCCTGTAACATGACAGCTTTCAAAAAATGTTAAAATGAGCGGATCATTAAATATTTATACTATGTAAAATGTGCTTTTTCATTTTTTCATGGCTTCATAGTGGATATGAAAAGGCAATAGTATTCTGAGTCAGGTTCAAAATATTCAAAATATAACTGTTTTAAATTATTCAGTCGTTGAGTTAAAGTGACTAGTATACTACCACATCGTTATTCATTTTAATAATCAAATACTTTCAAGACATACACTGACTGACAACAGAATTTCAAAATCATCTCACATAAAAAAGAAGCTAATTTCATTAAAAAATCAACTACTCTACAAATATCATTAAAAAAATAATTAAAATAACTTTTCTTAACCCTTCAAATAAATAAGTAAAAAAAAAAACACGTGAGT